AAACTTTCTGCAGATTTGTGACAATTAAAAAAACATTTTATTTTCTCTAACTTACTTTATTGTAAGAATATAGTATAGAATACATGTAACATACAAAATATATATTAATTGACTTTTTACGTTATTGGTAAGGTTTCCCATCAACAAGAGGCTATTAGTAGTTAAGTTTTGGGGGAGTCAAAAGTTATCCTTGGTTTTTCAACTAGCAAGAGGTTGGTTCCCCAAACCCCCGCATTGATCAAGGGTCAACTGTACAAAGTAGAAACAATAGAGCTATTCCCAGATTATGGTAAATCTGGGGAGATCAAAACCTTGTTGGAGGTGGGAATTTAGAAGCAGTAAGTTTTAATGAAAATTATGTGGGACCAACTGATTCTTAAGGAACTTAAGTCACCAAGACTGCTTCTGGGAGATAGGAGAGCAGTTGCCTCACTTTACAGTCACATCATTTGTGAGTAGTGAGAGGAAAAGGTAAGGTGTGGACTGTGGAGGGGAGAAGGGCCATGGGGTCAGACAGACATGGCTTCTAATTTCAGCTGAGTCTCTTTGTTCCTCAACTTCTCACTTGTAGTAGAGGGAAGATTGTATCTAAGATATGATATAATGAGGAGGAGACAGTATATACATATACATATAAATGTACATATAAAATATACATACACATATACATATAAATACTTTAGTGCCTGTTACTTGGTAAGTATGATGGAAATAGTAGCTCTGTTATAAGTGAATAAATTTAAGTGTTTTAAGTGCCTACTACATGAAAGGACGCAAGATCAATGCTGTAAAAATGTTATTTATTTAATACTCTCATAGATGAGGAAAATGAACCTTAGAGAGAGTAAATTAGGTCATGAATTTACTCATTCTTCTAGTCCATTCAAGGGGTCTATGAACCTCTGCTATGTGCTAGACACTATGGTAGGACCTAAGAATTCACCAACACAGACTCTTCCTTCAGGGAGTTCACAGTCCAGGGCCACAAGGCTGGTAATGATAGACACCATTTAGTGTGCCAGACACTGTTCCTCTAAGAACTTCTGTATTGTAACTAAAATGAGTTAACTCATTTAATTCTCTTAACTGGGGCAAACTATTTTACAGATGAGAAAACTAGGCAAAAGGAGGTTAAGTAAATTACCTGAGGTCACACAGTTAGCAGGCGGCAGAGCTGGGATTTAAATCCAGGCAGACAGACCCCAGAATCTGAGTTCCTAGCTACTTTACTACAGCTCCCTCTTAGCAAGTGATTTAAATTCCCCCATGCCTGACTGTCGAGGCCCTTATACGAGGATGTATGGACATCTAAGGAGGCCAGCAGCAGCCCCTTCACTCTTGTATGCCCCTTAGGCCTTGCCTTTGAGTTTATTGCCTCTCCTCTTTTGCTTCCTCAAGGCTACAAGACTGCATTTGACAACCAAATTGTCAGGCAGGAGAGTAGGTGGGAACCTCCATGTTAGCAGGGAGTGGTTGCCAAGACTGGGAAAGAGAAGTCAGGGAGAGTCAACTAAGGCCCACATCTGAAAACTTGAGAGGATTCTGGGGGAAAGAGCTTTTGTTCTAACTCGTTGCTGCTTCAAGGCCAGAGATACACTAAAGAAGGCAGGTAAATCCAGATGTCGGGGGCCAGGTGTGTAGCCTACGTGAGAGAAGTGACCCAGGCATATGAAATGTTCCTTGTCTCTTAATGTGACTGTAAGAAAACTATACCACAATGGCAACTGTCGCTTGGCTTCTATGTCAGGGAGACTCTAGGGAATGTTAGGGACTGGAAAATAACAGACTAGAAAATGTCTAAAGAGTGAGCCATTACTCGGCTCTGGTTAATTGCTGGCATAAAGCAATGGGGACCCACTTCTCCAAAATTAATAGAAATGTGAATTTATGAGAAATGTACACTTTCTGGTTATAGGCAACTACTTTTATTTAACAACTATAACACCAGCATACTCCAGCAGTGCAAATAAATGTTTCTGCAGGTTAGATTCAGGATGCAAGCCCCCGGTAGGCAAACTCTGAGCAAGATATTTCTCTTTCAGGAAGGAGCTTTTGCAGAGAAGCCAGCAGGCTTTAGCCCTGGGGATGAAGCAGGAAGGAGAGGGCTGAGGGAAGAGAAAGCCAGGGGACCAAAGGCAAAACAGAAGTGGTTACGTGCGGGAATGACTGTCCTCTGTCCTCTGTCCTCTTGCACCTGTCTCAGGTGACTTCCAAGTGGCTCTCATGTCAAAGCTAGCCTAGAATACAGGAGAAGATAGGTAAGAATGCTGTGTGAATCCATTCCTTTAAAAGTACATGGGCTCAGCTCCTTGCCTTAGGTGCCTGAGACACTTTTGTGCAAGAGTAAACAGAATTTGGCCTTTTTTGTTGTTCTTCTTCTCTTTGAGGCGGACAAATTTAAGTAGCCGTGAGTTATTCTTACCACTTGGGCAAGGACTCAAAAAAGGGCAAAGACAACTCGCAACTCCAGAGGCCAAATTCTGGCTCAGCTTTCTCTCCTCAAGTGAACATTAACCTTTAGGTAAACGGAGCCACTCCTCCGTGAGGGTTTGGTAAACAGGAGCCATTGTGGAGGGCGAGGGAGTGGAGCGGCCGTTGACCTGGATGGAAAGAGAGCAGCCCGAGGTCAAGATTTCATGCACCCTAGTCCTCTTGAATTTCGCCAAGAATGTGGTGCCTGTTCCCTGGGAAAGACCAATGTGCCAGGCCCAGGTTTCGTAGGTTTGTTGACCTAGCACCATGCTTTCTCCCTTGCTCAGGTGTCACTGTAAGGGGGCTTTGGCGAAGGGGCAGCCCTCTTCAGCAAGACAGAGAGAAACCAGTGGCAGTCGGGGGCCAACTTAATAATTCTGCCCTCCCTCTCCGTACTTGTGATCATTCAATGTGATTGTGTATGTGATAGTTCTTTGAAGAGCCTGAAGAATGGTACCCACATCAGGGCTTATTATTAAATGACATGTAGGTAGCCTGCAAGTTAGAGCCTTCCTCACCAGTTGGCTTGGGAAAGGGGAAGAGAGAGGTGGAAGGGTGCAGCAATGTTAGAAATATGGTGGTAAGGGCTAGAAGTTGTCCGGAGTTAGTAAGTTTGGGTGCAGAGGGTCATTCACAAAGAGATCCTGTGCCTCCGGTGAGCCTGCTAAAACTGCATATTGTTGGAGGTAATCCAAATTGTTGAAATTCCTCTGGGAAACAACATGGTGATATAGATAAACAAACAAATAAATATATAAGTAAATATCAGAAGCTACATAATTTTCATATTCATTAACCTAGTAATCCTGGTTCTGGATATATCTTAAGAAAGTAATCCTAAAGAAGTAAAAAGCCTTCTGTACGTGAAGTGTGCATTTTGGAGCCATTTATATAACAGCAAAATTGGAAGTGATTTACATTGCCAACAATAGGCAATGGTTGGTTAAATTCAGAATGCCCCTGCTTCACTAATCCTTAGCTTCTGATATTTACTTATGTATTTATTTGTTTATCTATATCATTAAATGTCCTTTAATGGGATATTATTACACAGGCATTAAAACCTGGAAACATGTAAACTTTGCCACAAGCCAAAGGATGTTTTTGATATTATATTAAATGGGTAAAGAGGAGATACAAACTTGTTTATCTATTATGGTTACCATTACATAAGGATAATTATGCTTAGGAATTAAGAATAAAAGAATACACAAAAGGGCCAATGCTGCTATGTTAGGGTAGAAAAGCTACAGGTGATTTCCCATCCTACCCTTTTCTAAGCCTCCTTTAATATCATATTATTTCATTAATAATAATAAATTACAATCAATTGTAAAAAGGATATTATTAGTATCCTCTTTTAAAAGCCACAGAGTTTGTGAGGGAAGAATAAGTAGCAAGTTGTAAGAAGATTACAGGCATTAAAGGAGAGGGACTGAAATGGTCAGGAGGTCTGCAGGGTTTTTGGAGGTGGTAGAAGACATGAGAGCCCCAGAAAATTGGCTTTATCGTCACTGAAGTGTCACATCCCCTTGCATGAGAAGGGGATATCAATCAGTTAATTGGGCCTGGGTGGTTCTGGGTTACCCAAAGGCAAACTAAGCACATTCCTAAGGACTCCTAAGGATTAGTGAAGCAGGGGCATTCTAAACCATTAAAATTTTTTTGATATTTGAAATTTCAAGCAAACATCAAAAAGTCATCAGTAGGGTGGGTGGATGAGAACTCTGCTAAAAACTTCCTTATAGGTGTTTCACAAGTTGGTCTTGTTTTTATTTTGAATTGGATGGTGAGGGAGACATTATAACCTTTTCTGTGGTTGGGGGGGTCTCTGAAGGTCTTCATCAGGCCCAGGGCTTGATTCTTGTTCAATCAGCTGCAAGTCAGTCCTGGGCTCTGAGAGTGGCAGCTGTATTCACACTCAGGCCAACAGATTGCATGCAGAAGGTTGGGTTCTGTGCCAAAACAGTAAACAGACCCACTAGGAGCGGCTCATCTGCCCCCGCTGGGACTAACTCCCTTGGCTAGGAAGGTTTAGGGCTTGGTTCTGAAGCTGTCCCTAGACACTCACTCACTTTAATAATAAGATTGTTTACACGGTGGTGCCATGCATAGCATCTCAACCTGCTCCTGAAAACCCAGGAGGAAAAGCAAGGCCAGGATTGGCTGAATGAGTACTCAAGGTCATAGTGGCAAGAGGTAGAACCAGCTCCCTCCCCAAGCTTGCATCAGTGGTGGAGGTGAGGTGACATTTTATAAACTGCAGTCTGTTCCCTGGTCTTAGAGCGCAAATTCACCACCCCTATGAGCAAGGGAGGGGGGTCCCCCTGCAGGTGGATCCAAGTAACTGCTGCTCTCTCTGCCCTCTCTCCAGGGTGGGCGGGTATTTCCCCAGAGCCTCCTCGCAGGCTGAGGAGATGCTCCCGTGCCGGCCTTTGGAAGACGAGCAAGAAGCAGGCTCAGAAGAGAGGGAGGACAGTTACACAGGAGATCCGAAAGAAATCGTCACCCTGGCTTTTGTGAGAGAGGACGCAGGGGCCCAAAAGGGGCTTCCAAATGTCCAGCAGCAAGGCAAGAAGAAGAGGAAGAAAAAGAGGTTAGGATTGAAAGATGGGAAATGGGGATCCATGTCGTTAAGAGCAGAGGGCAGAGGGACCTGGAGGGGGAGGGGCCTTGGCTGCCAATGAGAGTGTAAAGGAGAAACTGCTCAGATTGTCAAAATCACAGGTGTCTTGGTTCATATAAAAAGAATCCACTTTTATTAAGTTTTATAGAACCAAATAATAGTGTGCATGATCTGAAACCACACCTTGTCCTAATCTTCATTCTATTTGTGTTTAGAATGCCTTTTTTTTTTAATTGTGTGGGGAGAGACAATTTCCTTGTTGTAAGAAAGTACAGATTGTCCTGGGAACTTAGCATGCTTTAAATATAACAGAACTAATGCTGACTTTTTAGGATCTGACTGTGACTTCTGCCCTCAGGTTGTATTTAATATTTTGTCATGCCTTGTCCGGGGGAAAATGAATCATTCCTCAAATTGATTGGTGTCTGAAAGCTTGTCCACTTTCTCAAGCTTCCCTTATGTGGGTCAAGAGGAGAGAGACCATTAAGTGTTTGGACCAAAAGAGGCACTGCCTCTTCCTGGTGGGCCATTGGAGTGAAACGATTGAGGAGGTGGTGATGTTAATGTGAAGCTGCCTGCAAAATTAGCTGACAATCAGCATGCAGAATTTCTAGCTCCCAGGGAGTGTACTAGTGCTCTGAGCCCGTGTTTCCACCACTTTGGCTCGGTGTTCTCAGGAGTGGGGATGGTCAAACTAGGCTTAGCGTGGCAGGTGAGAGTTCATGCAGCTCTGCCCAGGGCAGGACGTTTCTGGGTGCAGTCACTTGTTCGGACAAACGTTGTCTGTCTCTGTCTTGCTGGTTTCCTTTTTCTGTTTTCCAGATGATTGGTGATCAATCTATCCAGCTGCCGATATGAGAGTGGTGAGCATCTGCATTCAAGGAATCCACCCTGGGAACCCACTGGATTCCCCCAAAGGCTTGGGAAGGGTCATGCTTGTATATTCTTGAGGATGAAAAGGGACATCTCCAATTCCTGTTCTTGGCTTGTCCCAGCTCAATTAATTATTTGAGGAAGTTGGGAATCTCATTCCAAGAAAATAAGGGTGTTGAGCACAATGGTGTATATACTTCAACTGTCTTTAGTTCTTGTATATGGTAATTTGGGGATCTGATTGTAGAGAAGGCAGCTGTCACTCCTCTTTAGAGCAGCAGTTACAGACTGGCAGTCTGTAGGTTGAAGATGACCTGTGGACCTACTTTGTACCACAGAGCACAGTGGTGGCAGTGTTTTTGTTCCGAATTTGAATGCTTTAGGCTGGTTCTGACTCCCCTGGTCACTGCAGCCACTCCTTCCTTTCCAGGCTCTTGAAGGCATTTGAGTCAGCTCCAAGCTGCTAATACCAGCAGGGACAGGGGAACAAAGCTGTGGCAGCATGTGTGTGGTTTTGAAATGTATTATATAATTTTTTTTGTCAATTTGCCTTACTAATTATGCTTGACTCTGGCTGATGTTAAAGATTAGTTGATATTCCCTGAACATTCTGTGCTTAGTGTTTGGAGGAACACCAGAGGCCAACTTCCTGGCAAGGGGAAGGCAGGGAAAACATTCATCCCTCTGTAGGGCTCACTGGGCATAGGCTGTATTCCTTGGTATTCTCCATGTCCCTTCTCAACCATGGTGTCTCCAGACAGGGCAAGATGGCTTCCAGTCCCAAGGAGCTGAGGTGTCTTGCCTCAGTGTGTGGTCTGAGAGCACCTGGGAGCACAACCCCCCCAACCCCACGCTCCTTCCCCTCTTCCTGGGCTAACAGGTGTGTCCTCCAATTCCATGGCAGTGCGGAGGGCCGCCCAACTGTATGGGCTTCGAGAAGGAGGGGAAAATGAAGACTGGACTCTCTTCTGGACTGACTACTCAGTGTCACTGGAGCGGGTGATGGAAATGAAGAGCTACCAGGTATCTGGGGCAGAGCTGGTCCTCAGGGAGGCCCCCACTTTTAGGAGTGTCCCCCGAGGGACTCCTAAAAAGAGATCCCCTTGGAGGACACTCCTGGGTACTCCCAAGTCCCTCATTGTTCATGAATTCTGGCTTCCTTTGCAGAAAATCAATCACTTCCCTGGGATGAGTGAAATCTGTCGCAAGGACTTGCTGGCCAGGAATATGGGCCGCATGTTGAAGATGTTCCCTAAAGATTTCCACTTTTTCCCTAGGACTTGGTGTCTTCCTGCTGAGTGAGTGCCTACCACGCTCCCTTCTCCACTCCCCACCCGATGTACCTTTCCTTCTTGCCACTGGTTCCCTGGGTGCTATTTTCCCTTCCCGTAGGATCTCCCATGCATCTCTCCTGATCAGAAAGAGAAGGGGTAAAGGGTTGCCCAAGGGTGAGAAAACGCAAACCTCTACCTATAAAATTAGATGACATTTAGGGGCTGAGTGCCTTAGAGCCTGTGCCTACAGTTGGGGTAAGATTTTGTTCTGACCCTGAAATCTGTTGACTTTGGATTTGTTCCAACTTTTTAACTGTGAAGTTTCTGAATTTTTAAGGACCATGAGCACATGGGGGGGAGAGCAGTAATGGTTAGCACCCAGGTTTGGAGGAGGGAGGGGAGCCTGACCTCTGTCCTGTGGCAGTACTGTGATGGTGGTCAGCCTTTCCCCGTCTCTGGTCTCCCTTTATCCATCTTGAAACTGGACACCCATTCCTGGTGTCCAGGACACTCTGGACCACATCACCAAGAAATAGGAGAAATACAAGACAACATGAGCATGGCTTCAGTACACTCTCATGTTTGAGATCAGGTACAGGGAGGAGCAGAGAGGCATTGCCGTCAGAATCATACTCACATGGCAAGAGCCTCAGAGGAATCCCACCCCCTTCTCCACCGAGTTCTTTCCCAAGCCAGGAGCTCCAAGGTTCCCAGACTTTTCTAGCTTGTTTGGAACAAATTTCAGGGCTTAGCAGGAACTTAAAAGGAGACATGTTTGGTATCAGGTCAACAGGTGCCTCCAGATTTCACGGCCACTGCAGAACACTGCAGTTAAGTGATTTCTCCAGTGGTCACAGGGCTCTCTGCGGTTAAAATGCAAAACAAGTAGAGCAAGACTGAGATTTATAATGCGTTAGATCAGTGTCTTTCTTTCTTCTGAATATGCTTTCTTCAAAGTGTATTCAGAGAGTATCTGCCCTCTGATACTCTAGCTGGAGTGGAGGCCGTCCAGCGCACAAGCCGAGCCCAGAGTGGGGAGATGTCACCTGTGAGGGCTTGAGCCAGATTCTGAGCTCCAGATCTCCGGGTTGTCACATTGGATACCTTTTTTTTTTTTTATGAAGAGCTGGCCTTCCTTTTCCCTGCTCCCCAGCTAAAGGTGTATCTTGCTCCCTCCCTCGTGGTCTGATAGCTGGGGAGATCTGCAGAACTACAGCAGATTAAGAAAAAATAAGACGTACATTTGTAAACCGGATTCGGGCTGCCAAGGGAGAGGTATATTCATCACCCGGACGGTGAAAGAAATCAAACCAGGGGAGGATATGATCTGTCAGCTCTATATTTCCAAGGTACTTCCTCATTGTGATTAGTTAGTTATTGCCCACGGCAACGTCAGGCTCTAGCTTCACTGGACTAATGGGAAATGAGGGAATGGAGGCTGGGGCGTAGGGGGAGAAGCTGAGTCCAGTCTTCTGGCTTGGCTTGGACTGTCAGACCAAACCTTCTGACAGGAACATGACATGTGCTAGGCCAGAGCGTCCCTCAACCCTATACCCTTGTCCGTTAGTCTGGCCCTATCAGGCTGGCCCCTTGATTCCAACATGACAGCTAAGAGAGCACCTTTGGTCTATGGAGGTCCCACCGTTTGGGGGAGGAGAGTGGTCCTGGAGGGATAATGGTAACCAGCTTTACTCCATGACATGCAGTAGAGTCTGCTGCAGGGAGGGAGCCCTGTGGAAGTGTGCATGGAGGGGGAAGGATGGGCCAGCATTGCAGGTCAGCACTACAGGGTGAATCTTGCAGAACTGCAACAGTAACATAGTCCTGCATGGTCACAGCATGTACTTCATCACAGCATCTCTTAGAGGTGGTTACTTGTGCCATTTGAAACGGAAGCACATTGTGGTTTAGTGACTTCCACGAGGTCATATGGTGGGCTACAGAGCCCAAGTCCCCTTGTCCCTTTCCCCAACACTGGCCAAGCCCGCAGTCTGTAACATCAGGCAGTGTTTGTGCTGACTCCACAAAAACAAGATGGGGTGCCAACGAGCTCCAAATTTGAATTTCTCCTCTGATGCTTGTGTGACTCCTCTCCTCCCAGCCTTTCATCATTGATGGGTTCAAGTTTGACCTGCGGATTTATGTGCTGATGACATCCTGTGACCCCCTCAGGATTTTTGCATACAATGAAGGACTGGCCCGTTTTGCCACCACCTCTTACTCCCACCCTTGCACAGACAACCTGGTGAGCTCAGGGGACACGCCACCTCCCCCTTCCTCCCTTGGTAATAAAACATCCTAGTTAAATCCACATTCCCTAGACATTGTGGATATGGCTGGCACATGTTGAATGCTTGCTAGGTGCCAGATTGCATATGTTCGTTCATTTACCCTCCCAGGAGCCCTCGGAAATAGGGATTTTCATCTCCATTTTGCTGATGAGGAGATGAAAACCTAGAGAACATAAGGGAATTGTCTGACATTACAAAACAAGAAAGAGATGAGGCAAGGACTTGTGGTCAGGTCTGCCTGCATACGAAGCCAGGGCCACAGTTCTGTGGTGCTCAAGGACAGGAGGCCATGGGCGAGACCCCGCTTCTCCCCCACCCCACCCTCTGGCCCCCCTTAGGCAGGGCACCCCACATCTCAGGAGGAGTTGGAGTTTCTCATGCTTCAGGCTGTAGGATGCTCCTATGTACTTCCTCTGTTTTGCCAGTTTAAGTAAGCCCTGGGAGTTGCCCTGTCTTTCCCATCTCTTTAAGCCCAGGGCCAGGGGATGGCACAGAGAGGAAGGGGGAGGCCCTTCCTCCTGCCCCCACAGACTGTGTGTCTTTCCCCAGGATGATATCTGCATGCACCTGACTAATTACTCCATTAATAAGCACAGTTCCAACTTCCTTCGAGATGCTCACTCTGGCAGCAAGAGGTAAGGAAGCAGCTTACTTCTCTTTTCTTTCCCTACCAGTCTCAGTGCCGCGCTCTGGGGATCAACCCAAAGCCCCATCAGTCCCCATCAGAGTTCCCATCTTTGGGTCACATGGTCTCAGAAAGTATTTCTTTGCCTCTAAACCCAGAACAGACTCCTTAGTCTCTGCCCTCTGTCTGTTAATCATTAAAAGAAGGCCACATCGTAAACCCTGTAAGAGTGGAAGGAGAGATAAACATGAGCCGGTTCCCCAGCAAGACACACACACACACACACACACACACAAAAAAAAAAAAACATACTCTTACTATAGCTGGCTATTCTGACATTTGCAAACCCCCAGATAGTTATTGATTACTTGTCTGCCACGGGAGAACATGCCAGCTAGTTGTTTCTTGGCCTGTGGCTCCCTGGGGTGTTGCTCCAACAGAGATTCTCAAATGATATGTCATGATGCTTGGTGTACATGACATGTGGCTAGCTGGTTTAAGATTTCCCAGAAGGCAAAAAAATGACAGGAATGCTTGAGTATCTTCCCAAACAGCCTTTACATTCATGTTCTCATCTGATCCTGTCTCATTTGAATTTTAAGAAAAAAGGGGTTTGAAAAATGTGAACCTGGCCAGGTAAGAAAAGGGAAGGGGAAAGAAGAGTCCTCCTGTATGTTGGGATGCATGCTGGGTGTTTTCTGTGCGTTTTTTTTCATTGAATTTTCACAACACTGCGGCAGAGGCATTATAATCTACTCGTCGTAGGTGGAGAACTATGAATTAGATGCCACTTCCACCACTTCCACTTTACAGAGGAGGAAACCAAGTCTCTGAGAGGTTGAGTAAGTTGCCCAAGGTCACATAGCCATAAATACTAGAGCAGGACAGGAAGGTAGGTCTGTCTCATTCCAGGATGTATGCTTTTTCCCTGCACTAGGCTTTAAAGGACTGATAAACAGGCAATCTGTTTGAATTCAGACCATCAGAGGAAAATCACTAGGTTAAGCCTGCTTGAAGGGGACATTGCCCTTTTCCAGAGGGCACCAGCCCCCCGTCTTGCCTGAAGCTCCCCTGCTTTGTTTTCTCCCCACCCAGCTGCAGGTCCCCTGGACCCCTGGCTAGTGTGCACTGGGCACTGGTGCTCAGCGAGGCCTGGCTTCCAGTCCTGGCTCAGACTCTCACCCGCTGAGTAAGCTCATGCAAGTCCCTTCATGTCTCCCAGCCTCCACTTCTTGGTCTGTAAAATGAGGGCAGTGGGGCGTCCTGCCCTGTCCTTGCATGCCCTGCTCACCTGACAGGGCCACTGTGGAACTCAGGTGACCTGTGACAGCAGCATGGGCAGCACTCATGGCTGCTGCTCTTTTTCTTCAGTTTGAGGGCATGTAATCGGAGAGCCTTCCTGTCCCTCCTCTCATGAAGACTGACACCCCGCCAGCAGGCTGTGAGCCCTCAGGCCATGATGGAGGGGGTGTTCTGGGGTCTTCTGGGTGCCAGGACTAAGGTGAGAGGGTGGAGAAGTTCTGCAGCTCTGTGTGCCCCTCCATCCTTCCTCTCCCTTCTCCTCACCTCTCTCTCACCCCAGGTCTGGCCTCGCCCCTCTGCTCTTCCTCTCTGTCACCCTCTCTGCTCCCCTGGCCTCCACCCTGCCCTCGCTTGGCTCAGCCTCTCTCCCTGAGCTCCAGGCCCGTCTCTCTTCTGCTGTGCCCGGCTGTCTCCGTGTTGCTCCTGCTCACTATTTCCCAGCATGGATGCATTCTCTCTCCTCGCTCCCACTCCAGCATTCCAGCTGGCCCGGCGCGAATGCCCCATTGCTCCCTTCCGATCTGCAGGATTAGAGAGTTCAGTGTCATCTTGGATGTTTCCTTTTCCAGTGAGTCATTGAATCCTGAAGGTTTCTCCTTCAAATGTCCCTGTGTCCCTTCCTTCCCACCACGCCCAGACCTCGCTTCAGCCTCAGACCCTGGCTACACTGGCCCCTTGCTCTTCCCTCTAGCTCTGGGCACCTCTGCTTAACCTCTCTTTGCCTCCATTTTCTCATCTGTAGAATGACATAATAAAATATGAATACTGGCTGGCCAGCCTCACAGGTATGCTGGAAGGCTCTACTGAGATGGTACAATAAATGGGCTTCAAAAAAATAACCCGTATGTAGGCAGAGGCTGTGGTGTCATACATTCTCATACAGTAGCTCCTCTTATCCACAGTGTCACTTACCCATGGCAGAGGATCCTCCTCCTTCTGACATACGCAGCCTAACATTCTGTGTTATAATGCCCGCGTCATTCCCCTCACCTCCTCTCATCACCTGGCCATTTTATCATCTCACATCATCAAAAGAAGGGGGAGGGCAGCACAATAAGACAATATGAGAGAAGAGGTCAAATCTATATAACTTTTATTAAGGTATATTTGTTATAATTGTTATACTCACTATATAACATTTATATAGTTATTGTTGTTAAATCTCTTACTGTGCCTAATGTATAAATTAAACTATTGTAGGTGTATATGTATAGGAAAAAGCATAGTATATAGAGAGCTTGGTACTGTCCCGATCCTCTGGAGGTCATGGGACATGTCCCCTGTGGACATAAGGAGACTACTGTACTCATTACATCCACTGTCAGGCAACCAGTATGCCTCCTAGAGTATCAAGTTCAAACTCATCTGCTCAGCCTGCTATAATTTGACCAGACTCCACTTTCCACTATTATTACATAATATTACACAAATAGTCAACATTTTATTTGTTAGCGCTTGCTGTATGCCAGGCCTGGCTCTAAGAAATTTACATACTTCAATCCATTTAATCCTCACAACACTATGAAGTAGGGCATCATTATTATCATCCCGATTTTGCTTATTAGGAAACAGGTGTAAAAAGGTTAAGTATCAACCTGCTCAAGGTCGCACAGGCAGCAAGTGATAGAGCTGGAATTAAAACTCCCAATCCCATGCCCTTAACCACTAGGCCAAGCAGCCTATGCTATTCGCTGCATGCTCTTCTACCAGGACACTTTTTGCCCACATTTGATAATACAGGCATGACTCATTCCCACCTCTCTTTGCTCAGCTGCAACCAAAAACATGGGAAGGCCCTTCTGTCTCACTGAGTTTCCATGTTGCCTCCTCTGACCTGGTTCTAGGTTCTGGTCCAGGCATGAAACCACTGCAATGTAGGCAAAACCCATCTTCTCAGGTGAGGGGCTGGGTTCCACCTCTAAGGACACCCCAGTAGAGTCTGCATGTAACAACCCACAGTAACCTTTCTATCTCTAGCCTCCCATCTCCCCTGCAGTCATCATCAGCCAAAGGCCATGACTGCTCTTTGCTTGGTGTGCATGTTTGTCTAGTGTCCTTATGCTCCCTAGGGTTAGAATGGTGCCCTGGCCTTCTGGGTGGTTCCACGTTGCTGAGCAGAATCCTTTGTACCTTCTCTCTCTCCCTTTTCCTTTCACCTTTCCTCTTCTTCCTCATCTTTTGAGACAATCTGCTTCTCATGCTGCCTGCCTCAGTTGCCCCAAATTCCTCCCTCCCCAGCTTGAGACCAGCTGTAAATCCGCCACTAGGCTACCTATCAGTAGGAGCAGTGAAGGAGAAGACAGAAAAACTGGAAACCTGGCAGGCTTCTGGGGCAAAGACCTCTTCATCGTTCAGCGTGCCCAGCATGAGCTGGTGTGTCCAGGCGTATTGACTAACCACTGGGTGTTATGAGACTGCACTGTAATGTATATTCAGCATGAGGGGCCTGAGTCATGCAGAAGAGACTATGATTCATAACGTCTGTTATAAGAAGGCAGGCAAGTGTATAATCTGTTTTGGGAAATTTTATTTTCCAATTAGGCAAATTAAATAAAGTGTTGGCTTTAATCAATCTGGAAAATTCATTTATGTGCAACACTCCATTCCCTGACCGTGACAAGTAGAGGATGTGGACGCCTATATTGAGTGGCCTTTGTTTATCTGTCTCTATATAGTGCATCCTTGTTTCATATGTGCTGTCCATATATGGTTCTTAGGCTTCCCGTGACAGAGGTGGTGCTTTCTTGGGACCTTCTCATTGCACAAGGTTTGCACGCACAGCAGGCCCTTAGCAAATATGCGTTGGCTGGCTGACCCTGCTTCTTCCTTTTTGGCTTCATTGAGGTCCACTGAGCTCTTTGATCCCCTTGGGTGAGCCAAGTCTCTTGTCTTCTCACTTTCTTCTTTGCTTTTCACGCTCTTGCCTCTTCTCCTCCCATATTTCCACTTCCCACTTTGGCTCTCTGTGCACACATGTGCACACGTGAAGGGAGTGCGTGTCTGTCCCCATCATTTCCTCTTGGGCCCATCAGATTCATCCTCTCGGTTCTGCCCAGTTCAGAGCTGACTGGAGATGCTCTTGGATGTTTCCTCATGAACCTCTCCACGTGGGGTAGTCATCCTCTGAGGTCTGTGATAGGGTTTGATATCTGCCATCTTGGTTTGCCTGTGACTGAAAATCAGGGCTGTCCCATCTGCCCAGGAAAGTTGGTAATAACCTTGGCTGTGGAAATGCGGTGGGGCTGTCTTTTCCCTGTGGGCATCCCTAAAATAAATGTTGGTGTCTTTAGTGTCCCCAGAATCCCTTTAGATGGCTGAGGTGGGATATCAATGTTCTTAAAAGCCTCCCTAAGTGCTTCTAATGGACATCAAAGGCTCAGAAACCATTGCCAATCAAATCCATGATGTAAGGTGTTGGTTTTTTTATTTTTTATCCACTCATTAAGCTTTCCACACAGGATACCCAGTTGCTTCCCCAGCCCATGGGTGTTTTCTGTGTCACAGTGAAAGTTCCCAGGCCAAGCCTCTCATGTCATTATATCTGTGCCCACTCCAGGCCTGTGGGGCATGACCCTGTGGCTCCTGAAGGCCCCTCCTGAGCTGACACAGACCTGGCTTCACCTGGCTCTCGGTGTCCATGCCCCCTGGCTCTGGGGCCTGGACTTTTTTAGAAGTTTCTGGTTTCTAGCATGCTGTGGCCTTAGATGACCAGACACGGGCTGTCATGCCTCATGGCCTGTGGTTCTCTTCCAGGAAGCTCTCCACCTTCAACACGTACATGGAGAGCCACGGCTACAACGTGGAGCAGATATGGAGAGATATGGAGGATGTCATTATCAAGACAATCATGTCGGCCCAGCCCATCATCAAGCATAACTACCACACCTGCTTCCCCAACCACACACTCAACAGTGCCTGCTTTGAAATTCTGGGCTTTGACATCTTGTTGGACCACAGACTCAAGCCCTGGCTGTTGGAGGTAGGGAGGCCGGGGTGAGGGGCGCAGAGAGTCCCTGTGATTGTTACCTTTATCCTCACCCCTTTGCCCTCCCAGCTCAGTCTCCCACGCCACTTCCTCCCCTAGTGCTTGCTTCCTGGGGCTTCTGCCTTAGCTGAGAAGTGGCCACCAGAGGGGGCTGGACGGCTGGGAATTAGAGAATTCCTGGCACCTTGAGGTCTACCCAGACTTAAAAACCCTGATCTCAGGCACAGAGTGATTCTAATGACAGCTCTGCCTTTTGTAAAAGAATTATCTCCCAGAAAGGGGGTGTTCTTCATCGAAGCTGGGTTGATGGTGCTCAAGATCAGACGGGAGCTGCCAGGCTGAGCTCTCAGGGGCTAGACCCCTCAGTTCCAAGTACCAACAGACAGCCACCTGGTATCTGTGGCCACCAGAGTGGGTTGGGAGCCACTAAGTGAGTTTCCCGTCTCCCTAGACCATGGGGTGGTGGGAGGAGGAAGAGAAGCTTCTGAATGTGAGGGTCTGTCTGCCAGATTAGACTTGTGCTCAGCACCCCTCTTAGGTGGCAATTAGATATGCATCACAAGGGGGTGGTGGGAGAATGAGGTGCAAGTCAGAGATGCTAGTTCCAGCTGACAGTCAGTTTTTGGAGCGGAAAACCAGAATTATGGATCAGATTCCTGGGGCCTTGCTTTTCCTCCATTCCCAGTCTTGGCCCAGGTATGGGTAAGGACAATATGGCTGTTTGGAGCTCTTACACAAAGAGCAGAATTAGCTGCCAGGCACGAGCCTTCAGAAACTGCTAGACATCTTCAAATGCCACATAATACCTCTGAACGTGGACTTTTGTGTGAGCAGGAATGAGTCCTCTCCCTCCTCCCACCTGTCTCCCTTAATCTCAGCTAGGATCCTGGATGCATCTCTCCTTTCTACTCCCTGCCTCCTCCCAGCCTAGCCCTTGGACTGCCCCCTTCCATCTGTCTGTGGGATGCACAGGGTATGTGAGAGCACACATGCCGGCCAGGTGGAGAGGAATCAGGACAAGCACCCCTGGCACTTCTCAAGAGGAGGACTGAAATAAGGGCCAGTTAAACTAGAGGGGCCCCACTTCCTTCTTCCCCCACTGCAGCTCCAGGGCAGACCCTCTGTCTCTCGCCATTCCACTCACCTTGGTGGCCAGAGTCCCAGGTGAGCTTAGGGAGCTCCCTGGAGCTGGCATTTGGGGCCACTTCTGCTTTCAGTTTAGACAGGCCAGCCCCCAGTTGCCACCCTGCTCTCACAGGTCAACCATTCCCCGAGCTTCTCCACTGACTCCTGGTTGGATAAAGAGGTGAAAGACAGTCTGCTGTATGACACCTTGGTGCTGATCAACCTGGGAAGCTGTGACAAAAAGAAAGTCTTGGAGGAGGAGAGACAACGGGGGCGATTCCTGCAGCAATGTCATTCTCGGGAGACCAGGTATAGTAGTGACTCCACATCCTGGGGACCCCATTCTATTGGACTTCCTGGCTCCCCATAAGACTGGCCTGCCTTGTCCAAGTTCTGGCTTGACAGCCTCAGGCTCTGCAGCCTTTATGTCACTTCTCTGAGGCTCAGTGTTCTTCTGTGAAATGGAGCTAGTGATACATAAGGTTGTTGGGGAATTAAACGAGAGACTGTATATAAAAGGCTTAACAGAGTGCCTGGCACTGTAATTTGGGTTAGAGATTATTAAAGTAATCTAATTACTTATTAAAATAATCTAACCTGTAGTTATATGAATCTAGGCATATCATCATTTTAAATAATAATTAACAGTTTGTATATGTATAATAATCTAATTATCATCTTTCTTGGTGGGGGAGTACACACAATGGGTGAAATGGGTCAAGAAGTACAAACTTCCAATTATAAAATAAACAAGTCAAGGGGGCATAATGTACAACATGGCAACTATAGTTAATAATGCTATATTGCGTATTTGAAAGTTGCTAAAAGAGTAGCTCTAAAGTTCTCATCATAAGAAAAGAAAGTTTGAAACCATGTCTGATTATGGATATTAACTGGACCTACCGTGGTAACCATTTTGCAATATATACCAATATTGAATCATTATGTTATATACCTGAAACTAATACAATGTTATATGTCAGTTAAAGCTCCATTTTAAAAGTAATTAATGAACAAATAAGGCTCTTGCCTGGAGCTGGTGGGGAGGGGAGTCAGTTCTAATTCGTGATACTTCTATATGGAAAATTAGTTTATATTTGCAGAATGTGGCAGCTTGAACAGTTGTACCGTGGATATTTCTTTGCTCCTAAAAATGAGAGATTAAGTTATAGATAGAACTATATATAACAGATGTGCTCTTTCTTATTACATAAGGATTCAGAGATTAACCAGCACAAAAAGTAAAACCACTCTTTTGTTTTTGCAAGAAGAAAGATTTGTCTGTCCTTTTCCACACTACTGAGTTGGCCGGAGCTAAGGTCCCCTGCTCCCTGCCGGGCAGTACTGGCCTTTCAACAGGGGCCTTCCTTCTGCGGAGGGATTCTAGTGTCAGAAGACTGAACCTCATCAAAGAGATGCCTTTGCTGCTTTGGCAATGTTATCTATGTTTGGGTGGCTCTGTGCTTCTCAGAGCACTCTCACGTGTGCAGTCTTCCCTGTGAGAGGGGTGGTGGGAAGGTAGGTAGCATGCTCCTGTTTGGGTGCAGAGGCCAGAACTCTGGAAGGGGAGCTGACCTGCACGAGGTCACCTTGCAGGGAAGGGGCAGGGGTGGACCCAGAGCCCGGTGAGTGTGCTGCCTGGGATTCTAGAGGGCCTTGCCTATACCACCAGCTTCCTCCGGGCTCCGTGGGAAGGAGGCAGCGTCAGCTAAGAGCAGCCAGGGCCTCCTCTCAATCAGTCTCCTCATCACATCTTGGCCCTGGATAGCTCAGTGGCTCTTGATTCTCTGCTGTAAAGGGGGCTTATCATTCCTCCCTGACCTCCACCTCCCCTGGGGGCTGTGAGGAAGAATGAGATCATTGCAGCTCATAAAAACTCATCCAAGAAGCCCTCAAATTTAGCAAAACACAAGCTGCCATTCTCCAGAGAAGGGCAATAAGGGCTGTGGATGGGGAGGTGGCGACAGTCTGCCTCCTCAGAACTAAACCAAGAGGGAAATGGAGTTCTTTGTGTGAGGTGAGCTGTCAGAAAGACTGTTCTGACCAGCTCTCAGAGCCTAGACTGCTGAGAGGGCTAGAATCTCCTTTCAGGAAAACAGTCACAAGTTCAGTAGATCAGTGTTTAGTAAATACTGATCGACCGCTGTTGTGTGCGAGGCCTCCTTCTGGCCCTGGACTACATTCAGCTTGGCCATGTCCCTTGCAGGCTTTGTCCCAAGAAAATCTAACTGAAGCCCTGTTATTCTGCGTCTCAACAGGATTGAGGAGGTCAAGGGTTTCCAGGCTGTGCGATTAGAGAAAACGGAGAAGTATGAGAAGGAAAACTGTGGAGGCTTCCGCCTGATTTATCCCAGTCTGAATTCAGAGAAATATGAGACGTTTTTCCAGGACAACAACTCCCTCTTCCAGAATACCATTACCTCCAGGGCTCGGGAGGTGCATGCCCGGTAGGAAGGCTGCCACAGTGAGGTGGGTGGGGTGCTGAGGTGGGGGGATTGTGCTTGACCAGTCACTGGCTGACTGCCCCGGAATGGTGAAGGCGTGGGGCTGCGTAGAGGGCTGGGTCACAGGAGGGGGAGCCTGGCGTCCTTTAGAGGATGCCTCCATCCAGGCAGAGAGCTTCAGTCTCTCCTGGAAGTTGTCAGAGGAACATCTGCTTTAGTCTCCCAAGAACCAGGAATTGTAATATTCCTTAGTGTGGGGTGTTCTTACATAGACGTGTCACTGTTTATAGAAACTCACCCATGAGAGGCATCCCCACCCCACTCTAGAATTCCCAGCCCCTCAGAGCTGCCTCCTGGATTCATGCAGATATAAAATCTAAGAACTGGAAGGGGGTCATTACCTCCAGTCCAATCCTCACACACCATTATGAAAGGGGAATTCAAAGCAGAGAAGGGACCACAAGCTGATGATAGCAAAACAGGGTCTAGATCCCCAGTCTCCTGACTCCCATGGCTGTGCGATTTCTATTACATCATTGGCCAGAGAGGCCCAGACTATGAAGTGGTCCAAGATGACAGCCTCTGACTCTGGCCTCCTAACCAGACCCAATTCCTAGCACCCACCTTCTATGGCATTTGGCCTGCTGGTAGGTGGGGAGAGAGAGGTGTGGTGGCATGGGGTATAGCCCCCTTATTGTGCATCTCTCCTCGGGGGCTGTTCCCCAGACTAAGAAGGGCATGGTTGGAGGAACTGCATTCTCTTCCTCCCGCTCTGTGACCTTGAATCATTTGTGCTGACTGGTCACGCTGGGGAGGAAATGTGGAGTGCTTTTCCTCTGCCCAGTCTTGTCTGCCCCTCACGGAGAATGCCCACATCAACAGCCTGTCCCTAACCTACATGACACTCACTGCTTCTCAATGGGTAGGCAGCTGATTCAGGAGCTGAGACGAAAACAGGAGAAAAAACGCTTCCGAACAAAAGAGAAGAAGGTAGAGATGCAGGGGGAATCGGCAGGCGAGCAAGCAAGAGGCAAGAGAAACAGCCTGCAACAGAAACAACGGCACAAAGACAAAGCCGACACCACCCATGCCTCCAAACAAGTAAACCCAGATGGGAGGGGGGCACACGTGCCCAGCACCCTTCCCCGGCTGGGGCCGGGCCACGGGGGGGTGCCCAGGAGACTGCTATGTAGAGCCCAGACATACTGAAGGCGTGGGGCTGCATAGAGGGCCGGGCCACAGGCAGGGGAGCCGGCGTCCTGCAGAGGATCCCTCCACCCAGGCAGATGACTCTCACTGGTCTCCTTCTTGCCTCCTTCAGTAGGAGTAAAAGCAGCCGGGAGGCTGAGCACGATCCCCACATGGGAAGTGGGCTCCACAACCTCATGTACTCATGGTCCCCAGCTCCAGTTTGGGTTGGAGTGCTCCCTGCAGCAGGCCAGGGACCTCCCCTTACACTGTGCGGATGAATACGTCTGACCACAGCTGGGTGCTTCCAGCCTGCTCTCTGCCCAGAGGGCAGACCAGTCCCCAGGCTGCGGGCCAGCTGTCCAGTTGTCCTATGATCTGAGTCTTCGGATTCCCCCTTCTCTGCCCAGCTCCCTCTTCTGACTCGTGGAAAGATTCAGTTGACGTTCTCGTCTACCTTCTTTTTCTCAAAGACTTACCTGAAAGGACGGGATTAGAGCAGGTTTTTGTTTTTAATAACTTTGTTAGGGTCATAGACTCTTTCAGAATCTGATAAAAGTTATGGACTCTCTTACCAAAACATATAGAAAGATATAATTTTAAAACTGCCCCCAAGAAACCATCCATGAGCTCTTAGGAGTCCCTGAACCCCAGGTTAAGAGCCTTAGACTACTATTGTTTTCCTTCTCCTCCTCACCTCCTTTGCACCTACTCTTGGGTGCAGATGAACCTGCGGGCGTGCAGAGCTGGGTTCCCAGGGGCTGTGTGTTTGGTTTCCTCCTTCTCTGTACCTCCAGCCATTGACATTAGTGTCCTGCATACCTGACTTGCTCTTGAGTGTCAGAGACGCAAAGACAACTGAGACAAACAGCAGCCTTGACCAGGAGCCCCCTCAGAAGGAGGGTGGCTCTGCACCTCCGGAGCCTGCATCTATGAGGTATTGCAGCTCTGTACCTGACCTGAGGAATGCAAGCCTTCTCAGCTGCCCTGGGCTGGAGCTCAGTAAACCCGTCTCCAGAATTCAGGAAGCCAAATCTGCCTGTGCAGTGAACGTGCTCACTGGCACTGTGGTGAGTAGAGCAGTCTCCCCTCCTAGAGGGCTGAACTCAGCGGGTGTTGGTGGGAGCCTTGCTTTCTGGTCATTTCTTTGTCTCTGACTTACTATGGCTCTTTGAGTAAGCCACTTAGCCTTCCTGTGCCTCACTTTGCCCCTTGTGAAGCCCAAGTTGTGAAACAGCCTACCTGTTGGGAGAACAGACCTGTACTTCTAGGGCTTTTAGAAAGGCCATCGTATGTATCCCTCCTTTTTAGGCAGGTCACCACCTGTTGTACTCATTTGCTAGGGCTGCCTTAAGAAACTGCCACAGACTAGGTGGCTTCAAACACACATTTATTCTGTCACAGTTCTGGAGACCAGAAGTCTGAAAACAGTGTTGGCAGGGCGATGCTCCATAGGAAGGCTCTTGAGGGAGACTCCTTCCTAGCTTCTTGCTAGATTCTGGTGGTTTCCAGCAATCCTTGGTGTTCCTTGGCCTGTAGCAGCCTAACTCCAGTCTCTGCCTCTGTCATCCCATGGCCTTCCTCCTTGGGCTTCTCCTTGGTGTAGCTAGCTTCACATGACCTTCTTCTTAGGACACCACCAGTCATTGGATTTAGGGCTCACCCTAATTCAGAATGGCTTCATTTTAACTCGACTAATTAAATCTGCAAAGACCCTATTTCCAAACCGGGTCACATTCTGAGGTTGTGGGTTTGCACAAATTTTAAGGGGACACTATAGAACCCAGTATATTCCCTAAACAGCATTTCTCACAATCCTTTGATGTATGGAGACCTCTTGAAGGAAAGAAAACATTAAGATCCCCATTGTAGACTTAAGTTATTTTTGTAAATATATGCAAGCATAAAACCAGATATAAAATCTTCGTTCTTATGGTTCTATGCGACTACAAAACCAGACCAAAACAAACTGCACCAATAAAATTCACATAAAAAATAGTAATTTAATGTGATCGCTGATTCTCGGTTTCTGCAGAAATGAAGTTGCCACATGAATGTGTCACTTGAGGTTCCAGCCGGTTCTTTTGTGTTCATCACAGTCAGGCCCACCAAGGACTAGGTGATGACTCTACTGTAGCCACTGGACAATCTTCAGCACTGTTGGGCCTTTGCTTGGTCCAAGTGCAGTATGGAATAGCACAGTTTTTAAAATTTCTAACTATAGTCCACAGTAGAAATCCATCTTATTTCATAGTCCATCACATACACCCACAACTGGAAGAAAGTTGCTGGAACAATACTTAGCTATAGTCCTTATGGTGACTCATGATATTTTCTGTTCTGTGCTATTCTATTCTATTCTTTTAAAAATACTAGTTCTAATCTACTCAGTTAGTTTCATGACCCACTAATAGGTTTGCAACCCATGCTTGGATAAACCCCTTTATGAGAGTATGCTTTGGGGCTTCATGACATAGGATTTGGCAATGATTTCTTAGCTAGGATACCAAAAGCATGGGCAACAAAGCAAAAATAGATAAGTGGAATTACATTAAACTTAAAGAATAAACAGAATGAAAACATAAACAGTAGAATGGGAGAAAATATCTGCAAACCATATATCTGATAAGAGGTTAGTATCCATAATGTATAAAGAATACTTATGACTCAACAAAAAAAAAAGCAACTTAAAAATGGGCAAAGGACTTAAAAAGACATTGTCCAAAGTGAAATAAGCCAGTCACAAAAGGACAAATACTGCATAATTCCACTTATATGAGGTATCTAGAGTCATCACATTCTTAGAAACTGAAATGGTAGTTGCCAGGGATTGTGGGCAGGGAAGTAAGGGAGTTGTTTAATGCATATAGAGTTTCAATTTTGAAAGTTAAAAAGGTTCTAGAGATCTGTTGCACAACAATGTGTGTATAGTTAACATTATTGTATTGTACACTTAAAAACAGGTAAGATGGTACATTTTATGTTATGTGATTTTTTACCACAATAAAAAAAATTGAGTAAACAATATGCTCTGGGGATCTAGCTGCCTCTGTTTGGACCCTAGAATCTCCTTTTATTTTATATATACGAGTTCCATCTAGTCACTCTATTCCCTATACCTCAAGGCTCCCCATATTTTAAAAAATGTATTAAAAAATTGAGTTTTAATAATAGTTCCTACCAGTGGATTACTGTGAGGGTTAAATGAAAGGATCCATTAGAGTGGTGGTGTACGCACAGGACTCAGTGAGCAGCAGCTATTTTAATATTATGGCCACTTTCTAAGACTGCCTTTGTTCTTTTCTCATTAATCTAAGAGCTAAAGCAGTAGTACTTAACTCTAAAGAGATTTTTTTTTAAATAAAGCAACCTTTTATTATCTTTTTCTTGTTTTAAATTTCATGTGTAGATGATTGATTTAATCAAATCCTTGGTTCAGGATATTGTATCATATTTGGTTCATTCAAGGCCTTTACCTGTTCTATTTATTTACTTTTCCCTTTTATCCCTATGCTCATTTCCCACTCTCCTGTTTTAGTATGTTTTCTTGCAAAGTAGGGATTTTTTAAATGCTTACATTTAAAATTTATTAATGTGATTGGGTTATTTGCCTCATTTTGTGTCCTATTTTTTTTCTTGTTGAGCCTCTTTTTTTTCTTTTTTTTCTAAGATTAAATTTATATGCCTTGAAATGATCAAATTTTAACTGTACAATTCTGACAGATAAATACACCTGTGTAACCCATACCCTTATCGCAATATAGAACTGTGGTATACTGAGTTATAAGGAATACATATTTGGCCAGGTATAGTTGGTCTTCACCCACAACTCCTGAAAACACTTAAGGGCCTCAAAGGTGAAAAGGGTGTCTCATCACGTTAATGAGAGATTTTTGGACCCCACCCAAGGGCAAGGTCTGGAGGTTGAACCAGCCAATAACCAATGACTTAGTCAATCATGACTATGCAGTGAAGCCCTCACAAACACCCAGTAGAAGAGCCTATCTCCGTTTTTGCATCCTGCTTCTCTGTGGGAGAGATCTTTCATGCTTGGGGAACCAGAACGCTTCTGTGTGCCACCGAGCCAGGCCTCAAGCACCACAAGGATAGAAGCTCCTTTATTTGAGACCTTGCTGTTAAACTTGTGTCCTTTACAGTGTCCTTATTTATTTATTTTTATTTTGCTATCATTAATGTACAGTTACATGAACAACATTATGGTTACTAGACTCCCCTATTATCAAGTCTCCCCCCACATACCCCATTACAGTCACTGTCCATCAGCGTAGTAAGATGCTACAGAATCACTACTTGTCTTCTCTGTGTTATACTGCCTTCCCCATGTCCCCACCCCCCTACATAATATGTGCTAATCATGATGTCCCCCTTTCCCTCTCATCCTCCCCAATCCCTTTCCCTTTGGTAACTGTTAGTCCATTCTTGGGTTCTGTGAGTCTGCTGCTGTTTTGTTCCTTCAGTTTTGCTTTGTTCTTTACAGTGTCCTTTTTTAATCTGGTAAACATTAAGTGTTTTCCTGAGTTCTGTGAGCCGCTCAAGCAAATTAATGGAACTGAAGGGGGAGGTGGTTGGAACCTCTGATCTGTAGCCAGTTGGTCAGAAGCACAGGTAACAGTCTGGGCTTTGTGACTTGTTTCTGGAATTGGGAGTGGAGGGCAGTCTTGAGGATGGAGCCCTTAACCTGGGGAATCTGGTGCTCTCTCTGGACAGATAGTGTCAGAATTGAATTGAGTTCACAGACGTGCTGCTGGTGTTTGAGAATTGCTTGGTGTCCGGTGTGGGAAGACCCCCTCCCCCCCCACACACATTGGAATTGGGTCTAGGAACCCAAAAGAACTTGTGGAATTCAAGAACTTTCTTATATATCCCCAAAGTTTCCTCAATCCTTTCCCAGACTATTCCCCCGGCCCCACCCCCACCCCACCCCTATTCCCTTGCATCCTTCCCCAAGGCATCCCTATCTTAGCTGACTTTTTTTACCTTCTATTAGTTTGGCCAATTCTAGAATTTGTTTTTTACTGAAGTGTTGTTGATATACAATCTCATATTGGTTTCAAATGTACAGCACGGTGTTTCAACAGTTACCCATATTATTAAAGTCTCACTCCCTCTAGTGCAGTTATTATCCATCAACACAGAAAAATGTTATAACAATTCTAGAATTTTATGTAAATGGAATAATATAGTATTTATTATTTTGTGTCTGGTTTCTTTAGCTCAGTATTGTATCTGTGAGATTCATTCATGTTGTTGAGTATATTAATAGTTTTTTCTTCTTTGTTGCTAAATTGTATTCCATTGTGCAAAAATACTACAGTTTATCATTTTCCTGTTGATGAACATTTGGGTTGTTCCAGTTTTTTTAAATTTTATTGCTATTGTGATTAAAGTTCCTATGAACATTCATGTTCAAATTCTTTTTTTTTTGCGGACATACTTTTTCATTTCTCTTGGATAACTATCTAGGAGAAAGACAGCTAGGTCAAAAGGTAGATCTATGTATAACTTTATAAGAAACTCCAAAGTCTTTATTTAAAATGATTGTATCATTGTACCTTTCAGCCAACAATGAATGAGAGGTCTAGTTGCTCCATCTGTGTCATCATTTGGTCCTATCTGTCTTTTAAATTTTAGCTTCCCTAATAGTTAAGTTGTGATTTCATATTGTGGTATTAATTTGTAATTCCCTGATGATTGATTGTTGAGCAATTTGTCAACTGCTGATTGATCATATACTTTGTGTAGAGTTTGTTCAAGGTTTGTCTCCATCCCTTTTAAAAAATAGGATTATTTTTTAACATAATAATCTTTTTAAATTTTATTTTAATTATCTTTATTAATATAATAAACTTTTGAGTTGCAGTAATTCTTTATATATTCTGGAAAAGCCTATTCTTTTTCTTTATAGTGTTTTTTGATGAGTGAAAAAATGTTGCTTTCTGTGTCATAAGAACTTTCATGCACTTCCATGTCACAGAGATATTCTCCTAGGTTTTTTCTAAAAGCTTTATGGCTTAAGCTTTGTGTATAGGTCTATGGCCCTTTCAAATTAATTTCTAAGTATGCTAGGTGATGAGAACCAGGGCTTGTTTTCCCATTATGTATAACTAGTTCCAACACTATTTATTGAAAAGACTTTCCTTCTTCTTATTGAATTGCTTTGGTGCTTATACATTAGTATTTTTTGTTGTTGTTGATTCTTTTGAATTTTTGTCATAAACAATTGTCTTCTTCGAGAAATACAGTTTGCTTCTTTCTAATCTATGCCTTTCATTTTTTTCTTGGCTTATTGCACTGTCTAGTATTTCTAGTACAATGTTGAATAGGAGTGGAGAGAGTAGACATCCTTGCCCTTTTCCAATCTTAAAGGGCAAACCTTCAGCCTTTTACCATTAAGTATGATGTTAGTCTTAGGGGTTTTGTAGATGTCTTTCATCAAGTTGAAGAAGTTCACTTATATTCTAGCTTGCTGAGAGTTGTTTTAAATCATGAACGGATATTGAATTTTGTCAAGTGCATTTTTGGTATCAATTGATAATATCATATTGTTTTTCTACTTTAAACTGTTATTTGGTGGATCATATTGACCTTTTTTTTTTTTAATATTGAACCAGCTTGCATTCCTGAAATAGACTCTACTTAGCCATCGTATATTAATCTTTTTACAGATTGCTGAATTCAGTTTGCTAATGAACAGAGCCTCCCTCTGGCAGGAGGTCACAGAGAGAAAAAAATATTAGGGAGTCACTCTACCCCCTTGGGACCATGGCTTCTTCACTTGGAGAGGACGGTTCTCCTCCCTCAGATCTTTAGGTTCCTCAGGTCCTGCTGGCAGCTCTGTCACTACCATTGGGGCCACCACCTCAGGACTTCATGGAGATGGGGCTCAGAGTGGAGAAAAGAAAGAAAAGAAGATATTTGAGGCAAAACCATAGGGCTTCTCCTGGAGCTCTCTCATTTTACTTCCCAGAACCCACTTCTGAATTTTAGGTTGCCTTAAGTCCAGGTCAGGGGGTACTGGAGGAGAAACTAAACTCACCACTGACTTGCTGGTACTTTGGATTCTCATCTTCCTCCACCTGCCTGCTACTGTTTACTTTTCAGAACTGTTAAATAGCTACTCTATGCATGCATTTTATGCAGGTTTTATAGATACAGTCATTGGGATGAAACAGGATGCAATATGCTTAAGCCATCTTACCTAGAGCCAGAACCAAACTACTGTCCCTTCTGGTTGTTTTAAGTTGTATTATCCTTTTGATGTCTGCACAATCCATGCTGATATCCCCTCTTTTATGACTGATAACAGTAATTTGTGTTTCCTCTTTATCTTGTTCTTACTATGGCTTTATCAATTTTATTCATTAAAGAACCAACTGTATGCTTTGTAATTTTCTCTATGGTTTATTTTCTATATCACTGATTTCCAGTGTTATCTTTATTATTTCCTTCTATTAGCTTTAAGTTTAATCTGATCACCTTTTTCTAACTTGTTAAAGTGGAAAGTTATTTATTTTAAGCCTTTCTTCCTTTCTAATGTAAGTTTAGCACTATAAATTTCCCCATAAACACTAGTTTTTCTGCATACCACACTTTTAATACGTTGCAGTTTTATTACCATGCAGTTTGAAGTATTTTCTAAGTTCTTTGTGATTTCATTTTTCTTCATGAGTTATCTAGTAGTATATCCTTTAATTTGTAAGTATTTAGGGTTTTTTAAGATATTTGATTAGTTTAGTATTTAATTCCTTTGTGGTTAGTATAAATGCTTTGTAAAATTTCAGTGTTTTAAAACTTATCAACTTATTTTATGGCTCAGCAAATGATTTATCTTGGTGAATGCTCTATGTATATCCTACAGTTGTTGAGTATAGTGTTCTATGTGTCAATTAGATCATTGTGATGGATAGTGTTGTTCAGATTTTCCATATCCAGACTGATTTAGTGTCTACTTTTTACATCAATTACTGAGAGAGGGATGTTAAAATCTTAACAATTGCATATTTACTTTACCTTTTGTTCTGTCATATTTTGTCTCATGTATTTTGAAGTTTTTTTATTAGGTACACATTTATAATTATTTTGCCTTTTTGATATATTGACCCTTTTGTTAATCAAGAAATGAAAAAATCCTCTTTCAGACAGATAATATTGCTTGTGTTAGAATCTGTTTGATAGTAATTATAATGACCACTCCAGCTGGTTATGATTAGTGTTTGCATGGTATATCTTTTTTACTAAATCTTTTTGCTTTCAACCTATTTTTCTCATTATATTTAAATCTCTAATAGACATACGTAAATATATTTTGTTTTCTTATCCAGTGTAACAACCTCTGCCCTTTAATTGGAGCACTTATTCCATTAATGTTATTAATGTTTTGCTTTTTTTTTTTTTTTAGTAGTTGTTCTAGGGATTACAATATGCATCTTCAGCTTGTCAGAATCTGCTTAGAGGTAATGCACTTAATTTTAAACATAGGAAAGTTAATCCCTTTTTTCTATAACATACATCATAAATCCCATAAACAATACAGTGTTATAAATTTTGCTTTAAACAGTCATAGTATTTAAAAGAATTAAGAGAGGAGATACATTTTCAAATTATATTTATGTTAATATATACATATAACAATATATATCTATAGTTATCTATCTATTTATTTATCTATCCATCTATCTGTTGTCTGTTGTCATTTCACTTTAGCCTGAAAAACTGCCTTGAGTGTTTATTATAGTGCATATCTACTTGCTGGTGATGAATCTTCTGTTTTTGTTTATCTGAGGTGTCTTTATTTAGCTTTCATTTTGAAGGACATTCTTGTTGGATCTAGAAATTCTGGCTTGAAATTTTTTTTCTTGTGGCACTTTAAAAAGGTTCCATTATCCTGGTCTTTTTCTTTTTTAATGAAAAGTCAACTGTATTTATAACATTGTCCCCTGTATGACATATGCCATTTTTCTCTGGCTCTTTATCTGTGGATTTCAGCAATTTAACTATAATGTGTCTGACTGTAGTTTTATTTGTATTTATCCTATTTAGGAGTCTTAAGCTTATTTTGTTTTGTAAATAGATGTCTTTTGCCTAATTTGAGAAGTTCATGATCACTATTTCTTCAAATATTTTTCTGCCTTATTTCATTGCTCCCAGTTTTATTTTCTCCCTGTGACTACTCTAGGTACCTCATATTAGTAGAATCATACAGTATTTGTACTTTTGTATCTGGCTTATTTCATTTAGCATAACATTTTAAAACTTCATTCATGTTGTAGTATATATCAGAGTTTCATTCCATTTTAAGGTTGACTAGCATTCCATAGCATGTGTGTGTGACATTTTGTTTATACATGCATCTGTCCATGGGCATTTGGGTTGTGTCCACCCTTTGGCTATTGTGAATAATGTTTCTGGGAACATTGGTCTACATTACCTTTTTTTATGGGGCTATTTAATAACTTATTCCACATGTTTATCTAGGAGCAGAATTGTTGGTTCAAAGGGTATTTGTAATTTTACTTCTAGATGGTTCACAGGATGGCTGTGCCATTCTACATTCTCATTAGCAGTGCATGAGAGTCCTTGTATCCCCATATCCTACTAACAGCTTTCTATTGTTGCTAATCTAATAACTGAAATAATACCTCTCTCTCTGATTGCCAGTCTCTAGTGTTTAAAATCTTTCTCATGTTTAAAGATCTCCCAGGGAAGCTCGGTGAATATTCCCACCATCTTCTGCTCTAGTGTGTAACCAATTCCTGGTCAGGAAACTATTTAATCTACTCTTTCTTGCTGCTACTGAACCCAGCTCTTAATAGCTTTGTTTAAATCAAGAATGGCATCAGAAGGAACCCTTTGCTTTCCGCAATCTCATTTTGGACTGTTTTCTCTTCTAGCCCTTCTCCTCAGTAGAAACTACCTCAGAATCCACCACCCAGGTCTCAGACTCCCCTGAGGCTCTGTCAAGCATGACCGTGACAACCAGCTGTGAATGTAGAACCCCTGAGATAGACAGCATGGTGCCCTCTAAATGCAAACAGCAGCAGATCCCTCAGCATCTCATCCAGGAGAAAATGTCAAAACTTTCTCTGCCAACAAAACCGCAGGGCTTCTTTGGGAGCCTGGGCCCAAGCTGGGCTTTGCTGAAGAATGATGTGAAAAAGCAGCATCTGATGTCGGAGCTACTCACCAAGGTTCAACTGAGGAAGAAGCTCTTGTTCCCGGTCTCTTGCCACCCAAAGCTGGTGCTGAGTAACCAGTCACGTGAGTGCCGGCACGTGCAGGGACGTGCCAAGAGCTTAGGAGATGGAGTAGTGCCTGGTCTGGGGGAAGGGGGGTAAAGCCCCTGCCTTCAGGGAGCCCCCAGTCTAATAGTGAAGACACCATTCATATCCTTAAGGAATGTCCAGTCTTACTGGGAAGACAAGAAGATAAAAATAGAATGCTTTTTCTAAGTCCTCTTTAACATGTGCTCATTCTCACTCAGATGAGGCCCATTCAGCTGAGTCTGTGCCAGTTGAGGGGCATTAAGTATGAAAATCAGGGAAGATAAGCTATTTGGAGGAAAGGAACAATGACTGATTCTGAGTCAGGACCTTCAGCCAGTTTTTGGCCAGGGGACCCTAGTGGGAGGTGGCCTTAGCCAGGAATTTGTGCGGAGCCCAACAGGACAAACTGATGATGCCAATGGATTTGCCTTTCCAGAAAACCCCTCCCTGCCCCGGGAGTGCTACTTCCGCACCCGAAGCTCTGGGGAGAAGAGGCAGCTGGATGTGTCCCCCCTTCTCCTCTTGCAGAATTCTTCCAGCCAGAATGTTTCTCTGAAAGATCTGCTGGTGGTTGCCACACCAGCCCGACTGGATCGGAGGCCCGGCAGAAGTCCTGCAGGTGCTCTGAGAGACCTGCGTATACAGGATCAGGAAGCATACAGTCCCTGCCTGATTTCTGGCCAAAAGGATATGAGAGGAACTAGGTAGGCTTGCCCATAGTCCCTCAATGTGCCTTGAGTAGATATATTTCTGGAAGGTTGGGTAGACAGGTGGATAGATGGGTTGATGAAAAGCTTACAGGTAAGTAGACAGTTAAGACTAACCTCAGTCAAAATGCCACCCTCTTGCAATGTGTATTTCTGCTATGACTGATCTGTCCCACTGCTGTAGGTACACTTTTCTTTGTCTTCCATTTATGGCTGAAATTGGGACAGTCACTAGTGCTAGTCCCAGAAGCAGAGCTATGTCAACTGTGAGGGGCTGATGTCTGCACCTTTCATGCTGGGCCAGCCTGGCCTAGGTCCTGGCCGCTTGTCCCAAAAGCTGGCTCTGTAAGGATATGTACTGGGCAGACAGAACAACAGGACAGTGGAGCCTGAGAAGGTTTGAAAACAAAGACCTCTGAGAAGCTTTAATTCCACTGTGTGGAAGGACCAAGGAGATATCAAGGAGCCCTATGTCAGAACCTTAGTGCCTGAGCAAAAACTTAGGAGAACTCTACAACATAGCATGGTGTATTGGGGGGAAAGGTGGCTGTGCTGCTTGGCTGCCTAGAGAATAAGACTAAACGTTTTAATCATCTCCCTCCCTCCTGTCCCCTACAGCAGACTGTGACCAGACAGTCTGATGGCCCCCTCATGACCAGTAGCTCACACTGCATAGGCATCAGTTGGGGTGCTCATAAAGATGCATATTCCAGAGCCTGATCTGGTCGGTCTCCTAGCGGGGCCTCCAGTAAAAAAACCCTGCATTTTAAAGTTCCTCTGGGTGATTCTGATGGTCCTCTCACCACTCTCAGAGAAAAAAGGCCTGGTGTTTCCCAAACTTCCATGATTATATGACTCATGTGGAGGCCTGTGAAGCCCAGTTTCCTAGGCCACACCCCTGTGATTCCTGGCACAAGAGGCTTGGGGGGCCCTGGGAGATTTTCTTGAGTACATGAGGTGGTGAGGACTCTCCTATACCTAGGCCCAGGCGTGGACAGAGGAACCTGTGACAGCTAGACCTGACCTGTGGGCCTGAGATTGGAACAAAGCTCCCCAATCCTAACAGAGCTCAGACCCACCCCCCACCTCTGTTCATAATTTTCTGATATTGGAATTTTAAGTAAAGATATGGTTACTTATTTATTGCTATTTATGCTCTTATTGTTTAAAAAAGGGGATGATAGGGCAAATTACGATGAAAACTTTTATTCCACAGGACCATTAAAATGAAGTTAACAATGATCAGAACTCACACAGAGAAAGGGAAGGAGATAATTACATTAAGACGGTGCGATAAAGTGCTTCCTTCATTGACCACTGAATTTGAGTCTGAACCTCTTAACATAAAAGGTCAAACATAACATTCTGTTTTTGTCTCCCCAGTCAGAGTAGAGACTCCCTGAGGACATGGATTATGTTTTCACCATTAGACTGGGGTTTCTCTGAAGGCAGGGGCTTCACCCCCTGCCCCAGACTGAGTACTACCCAGAGGTTAGGATTGATTCTGTTGGTTACCCCATTCCCTAAGCTGTTCACACATCTCTGCACACACTGGCATTCAACATGGTGGTTGCTCAGCACCAGCTTTGCAAGGAGAGTTTCTTCCTCAGCTGAACCTTGGTGAATAGCTCCCACATCAGATTCTGCTTCTTTGTGTCATTCTTTAGCAAAGTGCAGCTGGGGTTCAGACTCCCTGAGAAGCACTAATATTTTGTAGGCAGAGAGGTTTGTGATAATTTTTCCTAAATGAGTAAAGGTAAGTTTACTCATCTAATAAATATTCAGATAGTTCTTAAGAAGAGACTTCTTTTCCTGGCTCTAATTTCTAAGATCAGTTTGTCATGTGGAGTCTTCTATTATAGACTTTTATTACCGTAGTGGACAATGGCTGAAGACATTGATGTGTTTTTGAGTATTAATGATGGTAATAGTTACCCCTTTTTTGTAGCCTACTAGATAGGTGCCAGCACTCTTCTAAATATCTTTCTTATCTAATTTTATTCCAATCACAATTGTAACTTTAGAAAAGAAAAAACACAGAAGCTCAAGCTGCACAAGAGTTAATGTTCAGGCGGTCCCAAAGCTTTTAAGGGTCAGGACAAGGATTTGAGTCAGATGTTTCTGATTCCCAAGCCCCAACCTCTTAAAGCCATACTATAGTCCTTTTAAACGGCATTTTTAAAATAGGTCTTCAGTTAGAGTGGAGGGCATGATAAATGGCTCTTCAGTGAAGGCGTTTCTGCAGGTAGTAGAGATGGCCAGGACCAAACAGGGCCTGCTAGAACCCCGTGTGGGATCACCAGACACCAGGGCTGCTCTTGCTTTGCTTTGAGGTCAGATAATGGCTTCTAAAAATTCCCACCTAATCAGACCACAAAGGAGTGACACATACAAACTCTCAAAAGTCTAATTATATACAGCAGAATGCCTGTCTATCAACTCATTGATTTACAAATGCGGTAGAGTGCGGTGTGAGAATAGTGCTTCTGCATAATAAATAATGGTTGAATAAAAGAGAGAGAGAGCAGAGCAGGGGGCTGAATTATACATCAGGGGCTTTCTTGGTAGGTGTGATAACACTGTCCACACATCAAGTGTACATATCATATCTCGTAATCCTCAGGTTGATGCTGTGAGGTCAGCAAGGCAGACATTATTACCTTATCCTCAGTTCACAGATGAAGGGAATCAAGGTTTGGGAACACTGAATCACTTTCCCAGGCTCACACAGTGATGGGCTCTGGACAAGTAACCCGGAGCCTCTTCTCCTTACCACCCTGCCGTGCACTTAACCTCCCATCCTGAGCCATGTGAGGAGCAGAGACCGACAAAAGCCTCCATTTTTCCACTTCCATCACTGTGATCTCATCACTGTTCCTCTGAAGCCACTTTCACAGTGGATCGGCCACAGGATTTCAAATCCATCAGCAGTTGCGTTTTAGGGGATAAACACCTCATTTTTTAGGATTTTAAGGATGATTAAAAGCTTGCTGAAGTGGCTTTTATTCATACCTACTGAATAAAAGGTAGGCACCACGATGAGGATGAGGATGGCGCAGGTGCCAAGGCTGAGGGTGATGAGCTCAGTGCGGACCGGGCCAGGGCGTGCTTGCTCCGGGAGTGCTAAAAGCTTTGCGTAAGGTATCTAGGTCCTCAAAGCAACTCTGTGTGGGGAGTACCATTGCCGTTCTCTTTTTTCTAATGAGGAAACCAAGGTTTGGAGAGGGATAGGTCACTTGCCCAAGGGCACACAGATGGTGAGCATTCCTAAGCCTACACTCTTAACCCGGGGCCAGGCCCCCTTGACTGCTCCTCAGTGCTCCCCATCAAACATTCGGGGCTGTGAGGACACAGGAACGTGAGTGCCGTGTAGGTGAAATGAGTTTCTGGTGACTGTGGATGTGAATCACCTGAGCGCCTTCTGACCCACTAGATAGGAAAGGTGATGAGTTAATTGACTTGAATATTCTAGAGGCCATTTAAAAAGAAAATCTAAGAAAAATCTTTTTTTTCCCCAGAATCTGATTGAATTTCTGCCAATTTTTTTCCCTTTCCATCTCTGACTCCCAGGAAATGATTTCTCTTTTCTTACAGTGTCTACAGTATCCATAGAATAACTGAAGGTTTTACTTCTCATCCTAGATGTCCTGGTCTCATAATTTTTCTCCCATTAGCAGCACTGAGGCCAGCAGCCTTGCCCTCTGCGCCCTCCCAGTTAGCTCACAGTGCTGTGGGACCATGGCTTCTGGGAGTTACTGGTGCTGTCCAGGACATACCCCAGTTGTCCCACCAGTGGCATTCCAGTGGGTCCCTCATGTGGTACCATCATCTGGAATACTCCCTGAGACAGAGCAACATGAGGGAAAGAGTGTTCTGGGGAAGGACAATTTCCAGGAGTCCAAAGCCCTCAGCCCACCAACAAGCCTATGTCAGTTGGTCTTCAGCTCCAGAGAGAAAAAACAGAAAGGGCGAGGCACGTTGGAGGACTCAGAGCTCCCAAGTAAGGAAGTTGGGGCAGTGGTAACTCCACCAAGTAAAGACCAGACCTTCTCCCACCTCAGCCACCGCAGTGCCAAAACATCTCCCTGCCACCTCCTTTGCCAGCCCAACTCAGTCTTGCCAGTGAAGAAAGAGGTGATGTGAGCGTGCCCAGCCTGCAGATATTTCTTCCATTGACCTATAGGAATGATGCGTCTTCCTCTAAAGTGTACATTCATAAATTACTATGCTCATTGCAGGGTGTGGAGCTTAAATCCAGAGTGAGAATGATTAAGGGAGAAGTGAGAGAGTTCTCCTGAGCACCCCTCATTAAGAAAGCTCCAAGCCCACTGAAAATGTTTGAATAAGGGGCCCTGCATTTTCATTTTGCAGCCACCATGTTATATCACCAGTCCCTCTTATAGACTTGAACAGTTCTGGGTTATCTAATGAGAAGGCATGATGGGAAACTGCCTTCCAAGCCCCACCTACCTCCTGCCTGTACACCTGCAGGGTTGTGCAGATCAACTGTCTGCTGAATGCTTGTGGGGACCAAAAAATGTTATGTCAGTTCTTTCTTCCATGGAGTGTGCAATGGAGTAAGACAGGTCCACAGATAACTAACCTGAGTTAAAAGCCACTAAAATAGAGTGTCAGTAGATGTGAAGGAAATGCCCCTGCACCCAGCTGGGAGGATCAAGTCTGCTTCATTGGGGGAGGTGATATTTGAGGTGGCAGGAAAAGATAAACAGGATTTTAAAAAGTGGATATGAGGTAGGTATGGAACTGAGGTGTAGAGGCTTGGGAGAAAGTAAAAACAACACTGAACACAACCACAAAGTAAAGTCTAGTCCAATTTGCTTGGATCAGAAAGGAAAACTGGGAGATGATGGCAGAAAGATAGTTTGAGAGACCATACTGGAGACCTTGGGGTCTTTTGTTTTTATCACCATTACTACATGTCTCATGATGGTGAACTTGGGTATGCAGTTGTCTTCCCATGGGACTGTACCATGTCTTTACAACTTTATATTCTCTGCTTTTAGCCTAGTGCCCAGGACATAATAGAAATATTTGCTGAATGAATTAACATTGTGGAGAGTCTAAAATGTTATCTTGGGAACTATTTACTTAATTTAGTGGGCAGTGGAAAACCACTGAAGGTTTTGAATGGGAGAGAGATTTTAGTTAAAAAGATGAACCTGGTAGTAGATGGTTGAATGAATGATTGGCAAGGGGAGGAACTGAAGGTGGAGAGCTGTTAGGACATATTTATGGTGGCCCAGGTTTCAAGCCCTTGTAGCCCCTGAATTTCAGCATGGCTAAATGTGGGAAAGAAAAGAAGGGGGCAGGTGAGAAAAACATTATAGAGCTGTGACATAACCGCTGAGTGAGTGGAAAAGGGAAGAGCAAAAATGGCTTCCAAGAAATGAAGTCCCCTTAAGGAAAATAGGAACATTGGGAGAAAGAGCTTTTGGGGAATGGAAATCAGAGTGTGTGTTATAAAGCAGGTGGAGGAGTTCCTGTCCCCAGATGTATTTAAAAGAGCAGCAGTGAAATAAAAGTTTCTAACTACAAAAATGACTTTCTTGAAGAGCAAATGGTTAAAAATAGCCCTCTTGGACTGGAAAGGTTCTCCAGGATCAGAACTGCCCAGGCAGCTTAAAAGACATGTGTCCACCCAGCCCATCCCCAGTAGAACAAATTAGTCCATCTGGATAGGGGTGTGTGGTTGTTCACCTGGATTTAGAAACCTCCCTCAGAGGTTCTAATGCATAGCTACATATGAGAGCCACTTACCAGGCTCACCCCACACTGCTCAGCCCCTAGCCCACCTCAGATGGACGGGGACTCTCCCTAGCCTTAAAAGAATGATTTCAGATTCCAGTTTTCCCTCCACCCTGGCAGAGAGCGTAAGTCAGACAGATTGGCAGCTGTTCCAAGCATCCTCCCCCACTTATTCCAGATGATTACATGAGCCGAATGTAATCATTCACAACCCTTGTCTTTACAGCTGGCATGTCACTTAGCTTAATTACAGCACACAGTGGCATTTTAACTTGAGGAATCTAAAAAAGCAATGAAATGGGTTTTTCAAATTGTTAGGAAGGCAATGAAGACCTTGGAACTGCAATTTACTAAACATTGCTTTCAATAATTT